CGTTAACCCATGCGATTTGGCAGCTTTTTTTACCGGTGAACCGCACAAGAGGCGTTTCTCATTCGATAAAGCGATACGGCTGAATTTATAAATGAACTTCGTGCAAAAAATTACACATGTTAAGGCGAATGCGAAATTACATTGAGCCAGCACATTGAATTTGAAATATATATTTGTGAAAATTTTAACTGCGCTGGAGTTCAAAGTTTCCCCATTTTTCAATGCAATTATCCTTGTTAGCCGCTGGGTTTACCTTCACAAAAATGAACTGAGGTGGATTTCATGAAAATTTAAATCCATTATTAAAAGTAAGAGGGAGAAAAAAATTAATATCCAGTGAAAATTTGGCGTAAGTAAACATTTCATACTTTTTTTTTGCAACTCAATAAAATAATGGAGTCGTAATAAAAAAAGTGTAATAAATGTAAATGTTTGCAGTGCACATTTTAGAATCTGCCAACGAGTGAATGTGCTATTCATCCATAAAGCATCCCGCTGACACTAATCGGAAAGTAAACGGGCGAAACAATGCATAAGTTACGCAAGCGGCGCCAACGGAAAACTATTAAATGCAACGCTCGCCGCTCATCTCGTCCGCTCGGGTGCTTTTGCATGCACGCGCAGCGGTCGTAAAAGCTAATTTTGCACAACACAGAGTGAGCACTAATGTATGTGTATTTACTTTTAAAATTATGCGCGCGATCCATCTGCGCCGCTCTTTATTAATTAAGGAAAGGCACGCGGCGGCAGATTTGCAAATTCTAATTCGACACCGGAGCTCTTTCAGAAAAAAAAAGAAAGAGCAGCGGACGCTCGCGGCGCTCAATAGCAGGTGCGACGGACGCGGAATAAATTATAATTTCACCAGCGAGCTTTTAATTTGGCCCGGTGCGCGCATGCAAATTAATTAGTCGACCCTAATTATGCTGCGATGACGCCTGTTTATTTTCATCAGTGTTAATTTCGTTGTCAAGCCGACGTACGCGAATCAGACACATAACAAACTGCCTTGAATTTAGCTTGTGCGGTTTTGCACAGCGAGTATTGGGTAGCATTTGTTTTTCTTTTATAATTACAAAGTTGGAAATGTGGATTTTTTCCCCCATCAAATTTTGCCCTTTGAGCTTTGTTTGAAATTATTATTTTTTTTTTGCGCAGAGCCAATTAGAGCCGAGGAAATTACAGCTTGTTTTGACGTTCATGTAATCCGAATTATGAGTCTGCTGCTGCGTTTTATTTGATTTTTTAACTAACCCCTTGACGCGGCAATACCAAGTATTGCAATCATATCCAGTAAATCCTTTTTGCCGACGTTTTTTACAATAACCAGCCTCGCAAATTTTAATTTGGAAAAAAATCAGTAAATTTTTTTTTCATCAAGTCGTATTATTTCAAATTTAATCCTCTTCTAAATGCATCAGAATCTTCTACATAATATTCTTCAGCCGCAAATGTTTTTATATTGACATAATTATACTCTTTTCAATCTTCAATTAAAATCGTATTATTTTGCTATTTACAATGAAGAATCGATTTCCACTTGGATTTGAATCACAGTCCGAGAGCGGCTGTGGCGCGCATAATATACATTTTTTTTTATCAACAATTTGTCAAGCAGCCGGCAGACAGGGTCTGTGCTGTCTGTCAGCAGTGGTCGCAACCCCAGATGATGAATTGAAAATTAACGCGCGGGGCTGCTTCAGGAAGTGGCAATCACACAGTTGGATGACACACAGCAGCAGCAGAGCGCCCGTTTGACACGCTCCATTGGCCCACTACGAACGCCCTCGTCCAATTATCGCCGTCGATAATTGATAACGAATCGGATTTGCTGCGCCGACAACTGCTAATAGGACCCCAAAGTTGAGGAAACGCCGAACACGATAATTAGTCGAGAGCAATAATTGAAAAGTTGTGAAAAAAGCAAAACGTACGATGAGGAATATGCAATTTTTAAAGTTTAGGGGTACTCAAGATATAATTGGAAAAATCATATTCAAATGATGTATCCAAAAGTATAATTTTACACGTGACTTTTTAGTATATAACATAGCACGAAAGCAAAGGTGCTTTTATGATATGGGAATTTAATCAGAATCGATTAGAGGAATCCATTTCAATTGACCTCAAAGTCTGATCAGATTTAGCAAACAATATCATCTTAGTTATAATGGGAGCTTTTTTCAATGATTTGTCATAAAGAGAAATTGCATTGAGAAAATTTGATAACAACATTATGTATTTTTATGTATTTCAATATATAAAATTTTTAACAAACTAGTGGAACCTTTTAATTAACAATGCAAATTCTTGATGTAAAATGGTTCTCATCTCAAACATAAATCGTGCAACTTGATAAAATAAATATGAATTGCTGTTTTCGTATTTTCTGACATTGAAACATCTTTTATAAAAAATTTATAAATTCAAATATCAAACATATCTGTAGTCACGAAAGCCAATGACGTTTCACGACTCGTCCATGTAGGTGGCAGTCAAATCAATGCCAACACAGTCGCGTGTGCGTCTTCATTTTTCCATATCTCGATCCCTTTTTTCCTCGCATCGATATCGGACGTGCCAGGTCAAGAGCGTCACTCTCTCTCACACAAAAACCCCCTAGCTGTGATGGTTTCCTCGAGTTTCCCCAGAAAAATGCGTCAGCCGCCAGAGAGAAAAAAATACATAAGAGCGAGCGCGCGGCAATGAAACGATCTAGATTTAAGGGTCCTACACGTAATTCAGAGAACGAGCAAGTGGCGCGGCGATCCCCCAGTGACCCTCGTGGAAATAAAACCGGTGGCAGCTCCACATAATGTAAAAAATGACAAGATCTGCCCCCTATTATATTTATATGCATGCGAGTGTATTTCTGTGAGTATTTCCCTGGTCGGCCCAGCGAATGAATTTAGAGGGCCTCGCTGTGTGAATAAAGTTGAGAGATGATACTTTCGCATTTCGGCGGAGGAAATGGAACATGTCGGCGGTGCACGAATAATGAGACAGCCAGACATCCCAACAGGCTTTTTTGCCACTATTTTTTTTGCTGTTGTTGTGCGTTGAATATAAGTTGGCCCATTGACACTTTTACTAGCCAGAAATGGGGCCGAATCGAACACATATGCACACTATCGGTTGCCGCGGCTGTTGTTGATGGAGACAGGCGACGTTCTCAACAGAGGGAAATTTTGCAACACGCGCGCCGACACAAGTCTATCCTTCGAGCACAGTTCATTTTTGCGACAGTGAATCCTGGCCGAGGAGGAGTGGATTATTTGCTCATTGCTGCAGGTTTTTATGACGACAGAAGTTTTCAGGTGGCTCCGTTCAAAGTTTGAACGTGTCAAAAGTTTACCAAGCTCTTTTGCGCTAGTTTATATTGCGCCTATGGAAAAAGAAAAAAAAGGGAAAACAGACTTTCCTCCGCTTCGGGAATGAAGAAAAAATTTTAATTGTTTATAACCTGAAAATATATATATTTTTTTTTTAGAATTTATATCTAATGAAAATAGTTTCATTTAGCAGAAGATTTTTTTTCAATTTTTTTTCTCTCCAATTTAGACTTCCACATTTTCATGAATTTTGTGCGATCACGGCCTGTGAGGAGTGAGGGGCAATAACCAACAGTTCTCGCTGCACCAGAAGTCTTGCTGGGTAATTTGAACCAAAGCCAAAAGCACTAATTACAAGTGGAAATTAGGTCAGTAGCAGCTATTGTCAGTAGCATCTAATTAGAATGAAAATTGCGCATAGACTTATTTGAACATTATCGAATTCCAATCAACCAGTAAAGATTATGTTTTGTTCACTCGGAGAGACTTAAGTGCGAAAAAATACAACTGAGATTGGAGACTCTTGAAGTGGAAAAGCTCTCTGCAGAAAGGCCTGGCCGACGGCTTCAAGCACGCACAATCCAATTAAAAGTCGCACGCCTCCGCAAAACTCGATTTTTAGCAATGAATTTGCGTCCCCTTGCGCTCATTATTTGGCTCTCGGCGGCGGCGACCCATTAACGTTCCGATTGGCGTTAAAGCTCTTTCTTTGATCCGCCGGCCTTTTCGGCACAAAATCGCCCGCCATGTGTCCGTACCAGCCAGTCGGCAGTCTTCACTCGGTGTCTATCCGAATGTATGTGTGCTGTAGTGTAAGAGCGCGTGTTTCTCCTCATTTTGATCGATCCGGAGCAGGGTCTAAGCGGGACCCTCTCAAACCGCGGCCTCAAAACTTATTACATAGACGGTCTGAAAAGTTTCAGCCGCGCAAAGTGGAAAGTTCATCACAGGATTGAATTGGAGGATGCCTCATTAACTCTTCAAGACGGGCACATTTATATACACGGCAAAATTGACGCTCCCCCACCAATATTGATAATTTTTTATCTCTAATTTAACGATAAATTGGTCATTCCGATTAAATGTATATGACTTTCAAACGTAATGAATGTAAAATTTTATTAGATCACTAAAATTTATCTAATTTTTACAAAATTCAATTCAGTTTGATATATATGAGTGAAACGTTGTAATAATTTACTTCAAAATGTAATAGAACAAGTGAACAAAAAATTGTAAAATATATTTCTCCTAGAATAAAACAATACAATATTATATAGTGGAAATATGAAACCATAAAACATTACAATGACATAAGGAGTATAGGAAAAATTTTGAAATTATAAAAACCCGGTTTATAAAATAAGTACATTGTATTCTCTGTAAATTCAAAAATATTCCTCCAACTAATTGTATCTTTTAATTAAATCACCAATTAAATTAATTTTTGGTGATTCGAAAAAAGTAACAATTCTTTAAAAAAGTAGAGAATTAAAAACGTGCGTTGCGTATCAAGCCCACGGCGCAGGCGGCCCCGGCGGCAACTTTTATTATGGCGCTAGCACAGCAAGCAGGCGCAACTCTGCACCAATCAATGGTACAAGGGGGATGATAGTCACTCGGTGGCTACGGGGGTAGCAGCAGCAAAGCGGCAGTGGCTGGCTGCACGACACACACCCCAAGTGGCGGCCTCCGGAACCACAGTCGCGCTCCTCGCGGCCCCGATTGCCGAGCCGCAGTGCACTTGTCGGCCCGCCCGCAGCCCCCAGCACCCGCGCCCAACGCCCGAAGGGTCCACCTGCGCTCAGGTAAGCCGCCCCCGAGTCGGGGCTCGCCGTGTCAGTCGCACTGCGTGCGTGTCGGGGTGTGCGGAGAGGGAGCGAACGAGTGAGTCATGGGCAGGCAGGGAGGGTGGCACGCGCGCCCCCGCAAAGTGAGTGCCCTCCCCGAGCGAGCCGAGAGAAAGAAAGAGGAACAAACGTGTGAGAGTTTTAATGAAGTGCCCACCTAACCGGCCTTCTTTCTTTATTTCTTTTCACATTCTTTTGTTCGCGCCTGACTGATTAAAGCGCGCAAGCGGAAGGTCGTGGGGTATTTTCTTTTCGACTCATGCATAGAGGACTCCTGCCCGCTCCTTGGCGTCTTCTTTCTTTTTTCATCTTCTTCTTTTGTGCCGCCGAGTTTGGCGAGAAAGTCAAGAAGCGGTGCTTACTTAAGGGGTAGTTTTTCTGGCGTTTCCGAGATTCCGCCGCGGCACATCAAGATGCCCAATTCGGGAAAATTTGGACGATTTATTATACCGTGTAAGACGCACGTCCTGCAGGAGGAACACCTGCGCCGGCACATTAATTAGAACGCGATGCTCAGCCCCGTGTTTTCCGGGAAAACAAACGACCGCCCTCGAAAGCAAGAGCTGGATTACATAAGGCTAGGGACGTAAAAAGAAATCTTAAGATTTTCAATAGTAGACGGCATGGTCATAAACTTTTTGAGTAAAAGATAAAAATATTGCGGGGAATTTAATTTGAATCTTGTATCTATTTTATTTATGGTTTGAGATAATTTTAAATGAATTAAATATTTATTGAAAACCAAAGGCTTAAATAAATAATTAATACATTTTAAATAAAATACAATCAAAATATTCGGCATTAGAGACATTTAATTTTAATTTTTCAGCTCTTCTGTGTGTTAATTTACACACCTTAAATATGAAACAGATGGTTCAATCCAATTTTTTCGTGGCAAAAGTAATGTAAAATAATTTTACTCTCACTTTTAGTTAATCTATCAATATGCTTATTTATTTAATTATCTTAATTATTGTGTCAAAAAATAAATAAATAATGCATTCAACAATTTCATAACAATGAAGATTAAAAAAATTATTATTTATTTTTTTATGTGTGTTATTTTTATTCTTTTATAAACTGAATATGTTTGGAAATTTTTGTGTTAATTCTAGTCAACCTTGCATGTTTCCATAATATAAAATGTTTATTTCTTTTAACCAAAGAACGCAAGCGACACGTGCCACGATTTTATTTTACTTTTTTTTAGCTTGCGATCGAGGTTGTTTGAAAAAAAAAACCACTTAAAAGCCAATGGATAGCGGAGGGTCAAATGAAAAGCGGCTGGCCGATGACTCACGCCGATATTGCATGCAGACTGTCGCGCAATTCGGTGATTAAACACTGTACAGAGCGCATATCCTTTCGGGGTGAATTTTAATCAATCGCTGCCGGCGGCCAGTCGACTCGCACGCGAATCAAGCTTTAGTTTTATTTTTATACACTTTGCAATCGTGCCGGCCTGCATTTGCATGAGATATAAAGGGCAGAGATGCATCCCAGCGTGTCGTGGAAAATCGCTCCGTGTTTGAATGCGCAGCGTGAATATGCTGGGTGTCAGCGGAGCACGTGAATAAACGAAGCGCAGGGATTTACGGAGCGCGTTTTTTCATTAAAATATGAGGCTCTCGCAGTTTTACTGCCTTGCACTCATTAAAGCCGCCGGCGTCGGAATATATGGGGCATGTGCCTGTTGGGAAAACGTGATTCTGAATTCATTTTTCCATTTATGCAATCCACTGTAACTTGTCTCTGTATGTAAACCAGCTGCGCTACTTACTTATGAAAATGTATAGGAAAAACCCTTCTTTTCAAAGTTTAAAAAGTGGTTTTTAAGATTATAAAATTTATTCTGACAATGATTTATAAAAAGAAAGTTTCCCTTTTTTATTAGTGGCATTTATTTTAAATTATTTTTATGGAATTTATTTTAAATTATTGAAATCCAATAATTAGGGAATTAGGGTATATTTTGAAGAATATTTTAAAATACATTCGATCGTTAAGAACTAATCTAATATTATTGAAATATGTAAAATAAATTTAAATTGGTCTTCGTAATTTAGTTTGACCAACAGTTGTTACATAACTGTTGCGTATTAAACTGAAGTTTACTTCATATATATGGTTTCCAGCTCCTTGAAGAGTTGCATGTTAAACCATGTCAAATAAATAAAAAGACAATGTTATTCATTAAGAATCATATTTAAATGAATGCCTATTGTTTTTATTTTATTTTAAAGAATACGAATGTTAAATCAACAAAATAGAGAAAGTCATAAATTAAATTGCAAGTAAAATCATGTGCATCAGAAAGTTATTTATTTATTTTTGTAATTTTTCTATTTAAATATCATGCTTTAGTGTTTTGGAGATTAAAAAAAAAGATATTTGATCATGCGCGTCTGCCCATCAGTGTGGAATTCCAGTTTTCAGACTGAGGTAATTGCCGAATGCGTGCACATGTATGGGCCGACGGAAAAACACAGAGGCAGGCAATTATTTTTTATTTCAACACTGGCCTGGCTTGCTTGGCCAGCGCGGGTTTTGTGGGCAACGCTATACAGCAGCATTAGAGACTTATTCCGTCTCGGTGATGGCGTGTTTTCATGTCTGCTTTCGGGCTTGCGTTCAGAATATCAAATCGCACCAGAGGACTCACTGCTGGCTGTGTGTGTACTGTACTCGCAAACGCCCGGCAGACCAAAGTCAATAACGGCAGCGGCACACAATGGCCAACTTGGCTGCCGAGCAAGCAGCCTGCCAACTCTGCGCGATTTTTATTTTTCCAGCCAGACGGGGTTGCGCCGCGCAATTGCCGCTTGTTTGCCCCTTTTTTGCCCGCAATTTTTCAATTCCGCTGTAGCTGTAGAAGTGAACCTCTGAACTGATTGAATCTCGACTGCAAAAAATATATTATATATCAAGGGCAATAACATGATATGCATCAAAATAGATTTAAATTGCGCTGGATTGGATGGGATTGTGGCTATGTGGAGATGATGAAAACAATTTTTTGCAAAGAAAGATACAAGTAAAGCAAATATATTTTTTTGTGCGATTTAAATTATTATTATTTTATAAATTTTAACATTGATCAGTTTTCATTTCAGCGCCGTGGCAAAGTTCAAACATTATCAACCATAGCCTGATGAGTATATTATAATTGATTCCTTTTAATATGAACAATTCTCCTTGATTTTCTAGCTATCATTGTTCTGCTGTAGATTATTTGATTCTGAACAAAATCTCTCTTTTATTTCACTTTGCGTAATATATAATATATCATAATTTCTAATAGTCTTATAAATCCATTCAAATAATGACAAAAATTCTTCTCTGTTAATTAATCTAGCCTATTTGCACTTGGCCCATATTTGACGTTTTTTTAAACAACGGTTATCAACTCAATCAGACTTTTGAGGCACTTTTACTGGAGCAAAAAGTTCCCGCATTTCCCTTGCGGTGTGCAAATATTTGAACGCGTGTTGCACGAGGGGAATTTTTAATTTGCAGCAACTAATTTCGAGTGAGTGCGCGTCAGTGCCAAGGAGGGAAGAGGCTTGGACGAAAATTGAATTACATACAGGCTATTTGATTATGCATTCGAGTCGAGATAAAAAGATCGTTAGCAAGTAGTGCCGTCACTAATTTATTCGTGATCAATACCGAGAGCAGGCCATTTTTCCTCTCTCAGCCGAAATTTCGCTCCTGGCAGAAAGTTGCCGCCGGAATGCGGCTGCATATTTCGATAGGAAAAGTTTACGTGAAATTATGTATGCATACTGGAACTATGCGCAATTAAGCCGCCTCGGGGGAGGACTAAATTAAAGAATTACGGCTATTTCATTAAACATGCACTGCAGACGGAGCGAGAGCGGAAATTTCACCCTCCCCAAGGGAATTTCTGCAGCAAAGAGCAGCTCAAGAAGAAGTTCTTCTTCTTCAAAGAAACTTTGATCTAGATTATTATTAATTATTAGGATCGTTCTCAGCAAAATAATGCACTGGTCGTTGACATTCCGTGCATCGATTGTGCCGCGGCAGCCGGCGAAAATCTGATAAACTCGAGTGCAGATGCGAGTGTAAACAGCGACGGCGGCGGAGAGTTTAGCGGTGTGTTGCGGCTCAGCCTGCAAACAAGGCCTGGCCTGCTCATTAGCTATGCCGAACAAGCAGCGCGTTCTCTCTCGCTCGCTCGCAGCCGCACAATATCAATTTTCATTAATATTTAAGCGGATTTTAACTTATGGTTTTTCACAAAACAGCAACGCGCGCGTGTTGAGAGTCGGATCCGAGAGCAGGGGAGAAAACCGCAGCCGAGTGCTGCGTAGCTGCCAGCCCGCAGGGAGGCGCAAAAAACGCCGCTCTCCCGTCTCGTCAACAACAAAAATCGAGTGATCCGAACGGGGAGGGCAGCCAGTGCTGGAAAAATGGTGTCGAGTTTCGCCTCCGATTAAGTAATTTTGCTTGTTTGGTCGGTTGGAGATTTTGTTTGCGGTTGTGAGGGCCCCGAGGATATATCTTTGTTGATGGCAAACACTGCCCAGAAGTGGGCTTTTCATTTTGAAATAGCTTCAGTTACCATTTCAAAGCTTGGCTTTTTGAACCATTTTGTATAATAAAACTGAAAAAATAGATTTTATAAGTATTTTGCATCCAGACAAAAAAAATACGTAATTTATTATTTCAAATTATTTCTTAACGAGTTTAATAAGATCTTATATAAGAGAAACCTTTTAAAGTTTGATTTAATATTAATTTCTAATTTGTCATAAATCCGTTGTTGATTTAATTGTAGTTGAACTACTTAAATACAAACACAATTTTGAGAGAATAAAATGTCCCCCAAAATGAAACCTCAAAGCCCCAACGCATAAAATCAATAGCTTGCCAAGCACCTGCGATTTTTTATCGCAAATGTTCGCACTTGACTGATCACAATACAGGCGAGAGGA